CTGCTTGGCCTGCTGTGTTCATCCAGCTCTACACCTTGTATTCTCAGACCAGCATCTGCAGTTCCTACTATCTCTCCTATTTGCTGTCACACATTTTACAAAGTTTAGAATCTATCTGATCCTTGAATATACTCAGCAATCCAGCCTCAACAGCCCTATGCAATGAAGAATTCCATAGATTCACTACCCTCTGAGAGAAGAAATTCCTCTTCATCTCTAAAATGTGTGACTCCTTGTTCAGAGATCACACCTTTAGGTCCTAGATTCTCGCACAAGAGAAAACAATGTTTGCATATCTACTCTGTTAAGTCATCCAAGAATCTTGTATGTTTCAATAAGGTTACTTCTCATCCTTCTAAACTCCAATGATTCCCAGCCCAACCTACTCAATCTCTCCTTATAAGATAATTTCTCCATTCGTGGTATTAGCCTAATGAACCTTCTCTGGACTGCCTCCAATGACAATATATCTTTCCTTAGAGAAGGGGTACAAAACTGTTCACAGTATTCTATCTGTCATCTGACTAGCACCTTGTACAGTTTCAGCAAAACCTCTCTCCTTCTATACTCTGTTCCCTTTGAATTAAAGGCCAATATTCCATTTACCTTCCCTATTACCCACTGAACTTGGATGTTAGCTTTTTCTGATTCATTGGTGAGGACACCAAATCCCTTATTCTGTAGCTTTCTGCAGTCTTCCTCCATTTAAGTAATATGCAGCACTTCTGTTCTTTCTATCAAATTGCATAATCTCACATTCTCCCACATTATATTTCATCTGCCACATTTTTGCCCACTCACTGCACCTCTTTGCTGACTATTTGTGTCATCTTCACCACTTGCCTGCCCACCTATTTTTGTGTTATTTGCAAACTTCGTGAGAGTAAATTTATTTTCCTCATTCAGGTCATTAATACATGTTGTAAGTAATAAAACAAACAACTGCAAATGCCAAGATCTGAAATAAATAAGAACAGAAATTGCTGGAGAAATTCAGCAGGTCTGGCAGCACCAGTGGAGAGAAAATTATTATAAATAGTTGTGCCAACAGTGATCCCTGTGGCACTCCACTAGTTACGAGGTGTCATCCTGAAAATGCCCCCCTGATCCCAACTCTCTGTCTTCTTCAATCCTTCATCTTTGCTAACATACCACCTTCAAAACCATGGGCTCTTATGTGTGGTACCTTATCAAATGCCTTCTGAAAATCCAAAAATATTACATCCACTATTTCCCCTTTATCTATCCACCTTGCTAACTGCTCAAAGAATTCTAGTAAATTTGTCAGGCATGATTTCCACTGCATGAAGCCATGCTGACTCTGCTTGATCATATTATGTATTTTTGAATGCTTTGCTATTGCATCCTTTATAATAAACTCTAACATTTTCCCAATAGCAGATACGAAGCTAACTTTTTTTTTATTTGTCCCCTTCCCTTTTTAAATAAAAGTGTTACATTGGCAGCTTTCCAATCTTATGGGACTTTTCTGGGAACTAATGGATCCTGGAAGGTTACTACCAGCGCATTCACTATCACTGTAGCTACTTTCTTTCAATACTTGAGGATGCATCCCATCAGGTCAAAGGCACTTAACAATTTTTAGCCCCATTAATTATCCTATCACATTTTCTCAAGTGATAATGATTGTATTTATTTCCTCTTCTCCTTTTGCCCCTTGATTATTTAGTGATTTTTAAAAATTCTATAAGCCTCTTCAACAATGAAGACTGATGCAAAGTATTTATATAACTTCTCTGCCATTTCCTGGTTCCCAACTATTACTTCTACAGTCACATGCTCAAAGAGGTCTATGTTCACTTTGATGTTCCTCTTTCATTTTCCATATTTAAAGGAGCTCTTGTTGTCCTTTTTGATATTACTTGCAAGTTTACCCTCAAAATTTATCTTCTCACTTTGTTTTGGTCATCTTTTATTAGTTTCTAAAGTTTTCCCAATCCTCTTGCTTACCACTGCTCTTTGCCATATTTTATTTTTTTTCTTTCAACTTGATGGTATTCTCAACTTTCCTCGTTAACCATCATTGATTTATGCTCTTTCTAAAATCCTTCTTCCTTGCTGGAATAGGGACAGATGAATCTGTCATGAAGATGAGGTCAAATAGGTTTTCCCTCTTGTTGAAGGGTCTCGGCCCGAAACGTCAGCCTTCCTGCTCCTCTGATGCTGCTTGGCCTGCTGTATTCATCCAGCTCTACCCCTTGTTATCTCTTTCCCTCTTGTTGGTTCGCTCACTGCATTTCTACCCAGAGCACATTCAGTGCCCTTCCCACCCTCAGTTGCTAAAGAGTACTCATTCATCAGCTGTGTAGGGTGTGAGGGTGTAATCTGCAATCAGCAAGACGTTTCCTTGGCAATGATGCCATGACACTGCATGGGGTTCTAGGTCAATTTCGAGAACTCACAGCCAACTCCATCCTGGCTGTGTACCACCATTTGTGGCAGGTCTGACCTGCTGGTGGGTCAGGATGGTGATGGTGGCGTCAGGGTCATTTTCTGTAAGGTCCCATCCTATGAGAATTACTGTGTTGAGCTTGGCTGGTCTAGTTTGGAATAGTTCGCCCAATTTTAGTACAAGCTTCCAGATATAATAAGAAGGACTTGGCAGAGTTGATAGGGACAGCTTTGGGGCTTTTATTTTCAGTCCCTAGGTCAATGCCCCGAGGTCTATCTATTTCATTTCTTTGTGAATTTACAGTGGTTTGATACAACTGAGTGGCTTGCCAGACCATTTCAGAGGGCATTTATGAGTTAACCATATTGCTTTGAGTCTGGAGTCACATTCAAGCCAGACAAGGTGAGGACAACAAATTTTCTTCTTTGAAGAACTTCAGTTTAATTATAAGTTACCAAAGTAATGAATATTCAAAGGTTACCAAAACAATAATTAATCTCAAATACTGAAAACAAAACTTACATTCAGGCTCCTGCACTAAGACGTGGCGTGAATTTGTGTCCCAGCCAATCACACCATATGGGGAATCATTAGGAAGAATAGTCAATACCGCACTTCTTTTATTCAAGTCAATAGTTGCTCCTTTGGCTTGGTTTTGAACACCCATTGTGGTGATATTTACAAGACTTACAGTTACAATCTCAGCTACTTCTGGAATGTTGTCAGCCAATACGGTAAGTGAAATTGTAGTGAGTGCTTGACCCTCTGTAAAAGTGAACTGTAATATTGGGCCATATTAATCAAACATAAGAGTAAAACTTTGAAGATGAATTATGAAACACTTCAACACCGAGCAAACAGATTGAGAAATGCCAGCTCATAGCTGTTATCTGGTCTGTGACCTTTCATGCATCATATGATGGTATGTCAGGCCAACATCACTACAGAAACATAGTTCTTAAACCAGAAGGAAAAATCTGGTGAGAGCGCTTCATATTCATTTCCGTTTGATGAAAATATATGAAATACTATTCCTGAAGCCGATATCATGGAAAGTGAGCAATAAACTGTCAGATTAATATAGAAAGCTAGTTGTTCCACCAATGCTCTTAAGGGAAGGAAATCTTCCCAACATACAAAGCAATCAAAAATTGGGTAGACACTACTTAGCCATTTTAAGATTGAGCAAGTAATGTCACGGATGAATAAGTGAATTTGAGTTCAGGATATCTCTGATCAGTAAATAGGGGGGCAGTGGTTAGCAAGAGTTAATAAGTGATAATTTTTCATGGTTCAGTGCTCAAGAAGTAAGATTGAAAACATTCAACTTCAGTCAACAGAGGAGAACAATGTTGCAATCTGGTGTCCCAGAGTGGATTGATTAAAAACCATTGCTTTAGTTAAACATAATTTATTTTCTACATATCATAACAAATTTAATAAATTCTGTAAAAACTGGGCAAAAATTGTACCGAGAATACCTCTTAGATCTGATCAAGTAAGCAATCTAGTAAACTTTCACATCGGTTCTCTCCATTCAGTCTATATTTCTGATTGACCTAGATCTTACAATTAACACTGAAGTGATTCCAAAATGTTAGACTTTTGGAGACAATGAATGTGGGGTTCTGTTTGTTTTTTGTCAAATGTTTTAAATGAGATTCTGTAAAATGGGCATACTGAAGATGGTACATACATTGAATATTACTAATCGCTCTTTGTGGGATAATGTCTCAACAAAATGTTTGCATGACAAAACTTTATGGATTGATCTTGCTAGCTTGAAACCAAATGTTGGAGAGAAAGATAATCTCTAATATTAAATGGATTGGCTTCAGCTTTATCCTTGACAATTTGCTTTCCTGGTGTACAATATAAAGTGGGACTCTGACATCAAATTAAAATGACTATACCTCCTCAGCTCCAGACTGTTTCCCTGGACTGATTCCCTGCCCTTGCTCTTAAGAGACAGCAAACTCAGTCGTGGGTTAATAAATATTCTAACATCCAACATTACACTTGAACCCAATTTAGCCAGCCAAGCAGAAACTGCTTGTATAAGGTGCTTTCTTTAAATCAGAGAAGGCATACTGTGGTTGTGAATAGAAATAATTTTTAGTTATTTACTCTTGAGAGGGGGAGTACTTAGCCAATACTGAAATCATTGCTGTTTGTAGCATTTGGTAAATGATTTAGAGAGAGGAAATAAAGAAAAATATTTAACTTTGCAGATAATACCAAACATTAGTAAGGGCAGGGTCCTGTGAAAGAAGAAAACTCCAAGCATTAGGAAACAAACAGGCGTAATATAAAAGTGTTGGGTAATTAGAATCATAGCTCAAAGATGACAATTAATGTGGACAAATGCAAAACAATTCATACGGGGAAATAAACTGGCAATTTAAACCAGTTAACCTGAGACAACAGGCCCACCAAGGGGATGATGGTTGGTATTCAGCTCACTGTAAATAGTAATGAATATTGTGTCGACAATTGTAAGGGAAAATTACCAGTTCTTGGGAATAGTAGCCAGAGGGATACAGCAAGAGTCCTAGGAGGTAACAGAATATGTGGAAAATACCATTATAACCATACCAATATCATGTATACAATTTAGGTTGCTGCGCTACATTAAGAATATGCAGCTATTGGGTGACACTTATTTAAAGACATCTGGATTATGAAGTGAGATTGATGAACCTGGGATTATCTGCTCTGAAGAGAAGGTGCAGGGTAACTACTGAATAAGCTTAAAAGCATCGCCTTCAATTGGGTCCTGATAATATGTTTGAGATACCCACCAATTCTTGAACTGGATAATACAAGTTCAGGGTTAGAAAAGGGAAATTAGAAGGGCAATTTTAGTATAGCTACTTTATATAGACTGTGACTATGACTGTGACAATACGGGAATGACTGCTGAAGGATCCAGTGGAAATAAAATATGTTGCAGCCAATGCACTGTAGAGTATTTTCTGGTTACCCAAAGGAAACAAAAATTGTCATAATTGCTTAAAAAGAGAATGTAAAATACTAAGCTTTAGCCCAGTTACTTTTGAGTAAAGTATAAAGTAAAATGAAGGAAAACATTTTCATTAACAGAAGTAAAATCTAAATCTCTTAGATATCAAAACCATTTATCCATAAGATTTTGGTGATATGGCAACAGATCAAGTGATTAAAATATAGTCTAATAGCCTTACCGTTCCAGAAGTTGGAAAGATGTAATTGATGTGTCCACTGACTGTCCATTGTACAGTCACAACTCTGTGTGTTCCTCGCAGCCTCTCAATGCTCAGAATGACCATACTATTCTGTTCCAATTCTTCTACTTGCTTGGACAACGAACTCTGGGAGAGGGAGAAAAATACACCCTCAACTTTGAATGAAGTCAGAACTTTTTTAAACTACTTTGTGGTCTTTTTGCAGTTTAATCATAAATCTACTTTCAAACAAAAATATTTATTTTACGCTGGTAATGCATTAGAAATTTTGATCAGATTTCTCAGTAATAATGAAAGTTTCCTCATCACAAATTCTATTTGGATGTTGTATTGCTATCACTTTAATTTCAGATTTGAATAAAAAGTCTTTTCATGACAATAATACAACTTTGGAACTCGAGACATACAAAATGCCTCAGAACTGTTTTAATAACACTAAAGAATATTTATTGATAAATCCTGGAATTCCCTCCCTAATAGCATTGTGGGTCAACCCACAGCAGAGGACTGCAGCGGTTCAACAAGGCAGCTCACCACCATCTTCTCAAGGGCAACTAGGGATGGGCAAGAAATGCTGGCCAGCCAGTGACGCCCACATCCCACAAATGAATAGAAAAAAAAATCAATATGAAAACGAGTACCTGCACAAAACCAATTATCCCATGTGCATCATCATTTGACTGGATGACTATAGCTACTTGATCATTAGGACCAATTTCAGCTCCTCCTTTTGCATTTGTGAGCCTCACTGAGAAAGTCTCATCATCTTCTGGTATATCATCATCAAGAATATTTATTGCGATCACAGCATCTTTATGCCCAGGTTCAAATATGAGTTCACCAGACCTATCAATTTAGGTGATAGCATATTGTCATTAATACTTACATTAATACTATGAGAACAGTAGCAATTTAATAGCAATGTTAAATATAACACAGTTTCTAACAACAAATAAACAAACAACTTTCACTGCATGGTTGCACTCAAATACTCGGATTGTCCCAAACGCCTCATAGGCAGAGTTTCTTTGGAACAGCAATTGTTAATGGTAAGGCAGCACATCAAATTTACATTTGTCAAGATCCTACAAGTAAGAAATGTAATAAGCTACTAGTCAATCAACTGTAGGTATTGGTTAAAGGGACAAATATTGAACAGTATATCAGGAAGACATCTTACTCATTGAATAATATAATGCCAAATGGTCATTTACATCTGAACTGGAAACTGAAACCTGAATTCACAATCTCCTCTGAAAGTCAGTACCTTTAGTAAAAGCAGAATTCCCTCAAGATTGCACTGAGTGTCAACCTACATTATTTGTTCAATCTTGGAATGAACACACAATCATTTCACTCAAAAGCAAGAATGACCAGTGACAACAGACAAACAATTAAGGCTTAACAAGTTATTCATGACTAAAGGGTCAAGAAATAATTGGTTTGTCAAACTATGACATATCATTGCAATTTTCAATTCTGTAGATGTTAGATAGGTACCAAACAAACTGTAGATTTAACTTTGAGTTTTGTCCTGGCCTGTCCTTACTGAAGGGTGTTAATAGGTTTCATGTTCACTTTTGGATGGCAGAAAGTATGAAGTCACTAACCTCAATCTATCCTCTTCACCCTTAAATAAAGATATCATTGACTGCAACTTTCATTATTGCATCAGTCTTCACTGCAGAGGATACAGGTAACATCCTAGAAGCAGCTATAAATCAGAAAACAGAAGGCAGGAAGGAACTCAGGAAAATGTGAGAAGTGGTACTGAATAAATTGTTGAAGTTATGAGTCATCCTCAGACTGTGGCTCAGATTCATTGGTGATACTGAACTTGGGAGTATTGTGTATAGTTCTGGCCCCTGTAATTAAGGAAATTCTTACTGCTGGGGATCACCAGACTTATTCCACGTTGATGGAAGTGTCCAATGAGGTGAGAATGAGAAAGCTGAACCTGTTTTATCTTGGGTTTAGAAGAATGAGAGGTAATCTGATTGAAACTTACAAAATTCTCAAAATTCAGTTACCTTGCCTGGAGAAGGGGGATGGTCAGAGGTGTCCAGAACCAGGGAACACAACAAAGCTATTGAGGGCTGAGAAGTAACTTCTACATTCAGAAGGTAGTGAATCCTGGGGATTCCCTATCTCAGAGTGTTACGGAAGCTCAGTCTTTGAGTATGTTCAAGTCAGAGATTGATAGATTTCTAGATACTTACAACATCAAAGATACTTGGATACACAGAAGAATGGCAATCAGGTGAATGATCAGCCTTGATCATACAGGCTCGAGGGACTGAGTGGCTTACTCCTACTGCTATATTCCTGTATTCAAGCCAATGTGGGTCAGCAAAGAGTGGAAATATGAATGAGTGGGACTTGGTACTGAATAGGATACAGACGTTAGGTAAGATGAAGTTTGCAAGTGTTGGAGAATGGGAGGTCAGCCAGCAAAGAATTAGATAGCTAACTCCAAAGTAAAAACAAAACTGTGAGGCTACAAAAATAAGTAAATATGTTAAGTGAGTGGTCATAGATATGCCAAACAAAGCATAATATGTAAAAATCTAATATTGTCCATTTCGGCAGGATGAACAAAAGAAAAAGCATTTTATCTAAATGGTGAGATATTGCAGAGGTTGGAGATGCAGTGGGGTCTACATTCCCTAGTATATGAATCACAAAAGGCTAGCATGCATTAATACCAAGAAATTAGGAAAATGAAGAGCATGTATCATGTATATCATATATTGCAAGAAAAAGTGAATACAAAAGAAGGGCGGTTATGTTTCAGTTATACAAGGTACAGGAGAGACCCCTTCTTCTTTGATACATTCTTGGGATGTTGGCATTGCTGGCTGTGCTAACATTTATTGCCAAGGATGGTGAGTGGCTTCGAGGGGAACACACATGGTTGTGTTCCCATGTATTTGCTCTCCAGGTTTTTCTAGATGCCAGTGAAGTGAGTTTGAAAAGTATTGTGTAAGGAGCCTTGCTGAGTTGCTGCAGTGCATTCTGCCGATGGTATATTGTTACTACTGAGTGTCAATGGTGGAGGAAGTGAATGTTTATGAATATATGTCAACCAAATGCATTTCTTCGTCCTGGATGGTGTCAAGATTCTTGAACATTGTTGGAGCTGCATTCATTCAGCCATGGATCTATGAAACTCTCCTCCTGAAAACACAATAGTGGAAGCAGAGTCTTTGAATATTTTAAAGCAGAGGTACGTAGATTCTTGGTGAGTAAAAGGATGGAAGGATTTCAGGAAGGCAGCAATGTGGATCTAAGATTTCAAACAGATCAGATTCAAAGGCCTGAATGATCTATGCCTTCTCCTTGTATGTCCATATACTTATTTGAATGTTTTGGCAGTGACTGAAATGAGACAGATTGGACCGGCTGGTGCTATGAAGATGAAAGCAGGTGGTCTTTGCCATGAAGAGAATGCAGAGTCAGAACCAAGCTCATGGTTGAGTAGAGCAGCCATGTTGCAAACAGTCTGGTTGAGCTTGAGAAAATAAATCAGTGATAAGCTGGGAAATTTGTATCAGTAACTGAAGATATTGGCCAAGCAGTCTGGAAACACCAAGGTAATGGAGATGCTGAGAAGTGGTTGACAGATACAGCAGTGTGTTATCAACATACACATGGAAGTTAAATCTATTCTTACAGCTAGGTGGTTTCCAGGCCACACTATTCAAAGGGAGGCTAGACTGTGAAAGTAGAAATTATATTTCAGGCCTCCATACCTTGCTATCAGCCTCTCTCAAAGCCTCTGATTTATAGTCAGATCTGATACAAAATGTAACACGATATCTGTGAACTTTTTATATGAACTTTGAGATAATGCAGTGACATGGCCAGAAATTTCCTTCATCTCTCTTTTCATTTTCCTATATCTTTTATTGACACAGACCACTCCTTGGAAACCTTGGAAACCACAAAGCAATGAGAAACATATACAGATCTTGCATCACATGTTGCCTCAAATCTTTGTTTTGTTTGTGTCCAGGAGCAAATATTCACTGAGCCCCAAAATTATATTGGTCAGTGAATTTCAGTCATGTCAAGGTCATTCCTCTCATTTGTCTGAGAAAAAGATGCTTTCGTTTCAAATAAGCTAATCAAAAAAAAAAGCAGAAGCAAATTCAGAAATTCTTACCCTGGAATAAAATCGGATTGGTTAGATACAGAAACTAGCTCATAGACCCAGGATTCCAAATCACCTGCTGAAGCAATGAGGGTTTTGTTTCCATTAAGTGAAGGCACAGTGACAGAAACCATATCATTTGCTGCAGGAAGTTCCAGCACCAATATAAACTGGCTGGTTGCTGAGTTCCATATGTAGAGGAGTGACTGATTTTCACCAGTTAGCAGAAGATGAACTGAAAAAAAAAATTGGTATCTGCATAATATGTTCAACTGATCAGAAATAAAAGCACTTTTAAGTTGCAATACAGTTGTACCAGAGTGGCCAACTTAATCACAATTGCCAAGACACCATCAACTTTGTATTGAGGTCCAACATAAATACTTAGTTCTGCATTGGTATTGCCATCTGTACAGGATCTGGATGCCATTGTCATGCTTTCTGCATAGACAGCAACAGATAATAGGCAACGAAGGATATGAAGGTAATGGCCAGCTACAGCCTGAATTTACCACTACCTCCCTGCAACTGTGTTGCAATGCTGATTTATAAGCATGGTGTTCTGGGATGGCACTCCTACATTAACTTAAGACTATGAAATTAAAACATTGATCACATAAAATTGCATGCAATAATGTCCTATTCTCAAATTTTTCTGTGCACCATTTGTTTTTCATAAGGAATTCAATAACACATTTGGTTGCTTGATGATTCATTTCTTAAGTCTTACCAAAGCCTGAGGAAGGAGAAAAAAGGAAGATACTTCTGACAGTTTTAACAGGAATTGTCTGAACCAGTTTTAAAGCAAGTTGACCAGTCTTCCAAATGTACACCAGACAAGAAGGATGGTTGCCTGTGAAACGTAATAAATGCAAATTCAGTTAATGCATTGGTGTAGAAGAAATATGCTGTATCCGAAAGTGACTAAGGGAGAAAATATAAAAACCTTTCAGTGAGTAGGTTTAATGATAACAGTATCCTCCAGGTATGCCAGTAAGCTGTAGTTTAAAAAACAAACTATTTCTAACAAAATAAAGTTCATTCAAATGTGAAGAGCAAAAGAATTTGGTGAAATAAATCTGCAATATAAACATGAAGTCATGCTCTGTCCACCAATACCTTCTACATGAGGCTGTGAAACAACCCATTCACAACCCTGTTTTACCAGACCACCACTAGCAACATGAATCTGGCACAAATATCTTATTTTAGCTGCTGCACTCCCACTACACTCCACAAAGCAGATGCAATGATTTGGATCTTTCTTGACCGTTGTTTGGGGTGGTGGGGATGAGGGTCAGTTTTAACTTTATGATCTGGCAGATGTAGGGAGGTTGGTAGTTCATGTGGAAGCCTAGATGTCACCCAAAAGCATTGTTTTAACTGGGATTTGAGGCTGCAGTGGATGTAGGGTTGGGACTTGAGTTCAGAGACATAAATAGTGAAAGTTGTGGGGAAATCAGAAGAGTTGGAGTGGAAGGTGGAATGTGCAACCATTTGGCAAAGTGGGTATGCTGAACCTAACTGCTAGTTGAAAAGACATTTACCACATAGATAAAGCAATCCTTACCTTCCTGAAGCTACCAAGTTTCCAAGGCCCAGGAAGCTACATACCCATCCTATCCTTACCATTTGCCATTCTACTCTTTAAATTAGAAATGGTGGATAAAGATGAAGAAAACAGCTTTGTGTGATTATTTCATTTGCCAACCCACCTCCTGATCACCCTCTCCTGCCCATATTAAAACCAAAATGGGCATGTTGTGGTTAGGATTCAGATTTTCTTAAAAGCACTTTAACTCTCACCGAGCCCAAACATGACCATTTCGTCCATTGAAATCCTTCTCGTCACCCCTCTCCACTGAACTGCATACAGATGAGCCTAAAAAGGGGTGGCAGGTTCATTTCAATGATGGATATTGGTTGGGTAACCGAGTGATTTTCAATGATAACCTTAATTTCAACCTTGTTGGTACAGGATTGTGAACTCAGCTTCCAGGCTGCAACCTCAATACCATAATCACCAGATATCTCCCATCCCCACCAACATCTTGAGTAAATGAGAACATTAATGCGGAACATAGCCATTGGATATTTACTGAACATGAGCTTTCTTGTCTCTCAAACTTGATATCAAAAACATGGCTCCACATGAAAGAAAATATACACATACATGTATATAATATATATTGGTGACACTACTTTTGAATGTAAATGCCGACTTAAAATTATATCACTGAAATTAAAAACCCATTCACTGACCTCCAATTGTAGTGTTACAAAAGACGAAGTAAACATCAGCTCCCACTGTCATGCTGCTAACATGCGTTGCTCCTTGAACCATCAAATTCTGCAGCTTTTTGAACTGGTCATCACTCCATTGATAGAAAACTGATACCTGATTGAAGCTGGATTGGGAAACAGCCAAGTACAATAGATTTCCTCGATTAAACAAAGTGAGTCCAGTGGCCCCGCGGGTGGGAATGTTTTGGTGCAGAATAAATAACTGTCCAGTCCATCTATAGATCTGTGGATATATCATTTGAAATAGCATGTTAACTTTGGACCTAAGAGAATGTTCAATGTATGCATTGTGCTAGGAAGTCACTGTCAAAACAGATTTCTAATTTTAGCTGTGACCACATAATGCAAGTTTTAAAAAGTGATACAAATCTCACCACTTTTTTGAGGGTTAAAGAAAGGAAGCTTGAGTAAATAATCATCTAATCCAATCTGTATCAAAGTATGTTGACTCCTGGTTTGATAAAGTCTTTAATTACTTCCAGGCCTTGTTTGTGTTACACATTTTCTTATGAACCTGTTCAGAGATGTTATTGCATATCTCTGGAACAGGTTGGATGTGAACCCAGGTCACCTGGCTCAGAGGTACAGACATTACCACTGCACCTCAACATTAAACTAGGCCAGTAGCTGATTCATCCTTAAGTACCTATGCAGAAAATAATGGTATTAACATCAGGGAAGCTGGCTGTACTTGAAGTTCATGAAAAACTCTCAGTTAGCCCTGTCCTCATCTCATTTTGTGTGCTTCAACAGTACTCAGTGAGCTCACAAATGAAATTCATTAATCTATACACCTTCATTGTCCCCCTCACTCAAAATCTTGCTACACAGTATCTTAACTCCAAGAAATGTTGTTAACCCCTCTACAACCTACTCCTTCTTCTCTTGAATCAATATCGCCATCCCTCTGCCTTTCTTTCACTCCCTATCTTTCCTAGACACCATGCATCCAGATATCTTTAATACCTGGTTCTGTCTTATTCCAGCCCGGTCTCCAATATGATCATAACATCATTTTCCTATGTGGCTATCTGACTGCAGCTTATCGACAATATTTAACCATCAGGCAGTGTTACCTTACCATTAAACATTAATCTTTTCTTGATTATGGTGTGTACAACTTTGCTGCCACATGTCCCACAACATAACAGTAAATTCAAAACTTATTATTTGCTTGTAAAGTGCATTAAGCAGAGAATTCCAAAGCTTCATGACCTTTTAAGTGAAGAAATTTCTCTTCTCAATCCTAAGTAACTGGCCCCTTATCCTGAAACTGTACTCCCAAGCTTTAGTTTCCTGACCAACAAAAATAATCTCTCAGCATCTACCCTGCGAAGCCCCTTCAAAATCTTGTATGTTTCACTGAGATTGCCTCTCATTCTTCTAAACACCAGAAAATATAGATCTAATTTAGTGGGCGTCTAATCACATGACAATCCCCTCAGCCGTGTGACTAATTTGGTGAACATTTACTGTCCTGCCTCAAATGTAATTATACCCTCTTAAATATGGAATGCAAAACCTTATACAGTAATCCAAATGTGATATCAGCAAAAACCTTGTTGCAAGTATGACAAGACTTCTTTATTCCTGCATTTCAATTCTATTGGCAAACAAGACCAACATGTCATTTGTTTTTCTAATTGCCTTCTGTACTTGCATGGTAACTTTCTACATACCCAAATCTCTTGGAACATCAATGCTTAAAAGTTGCATACACAGAATCCCAAACATGTGGAAGCAGGCTATTTGGCCCAGCAAGTCCACACTGAATATCATCCCACTCAGACTCACCCCCTAACCTATCCCTGTAACCTTCATTTCCCATGGCTAATCCACCTAACCTGCACATCTTTGGACTGTGGGAGGAAACCCACACGGACATGGGGAGAATATGCAAACTCAGTAACCTGAGGGTGGAATCAAACCTGGGTCCCTGCCTCTGTGAGGCAACAGTGCTAATCGCTGAGTCACCATGCCACCCTTTTAAAAGATATTCTGCTTTTCCATTCTTCTAAAGGAAGTAAACAACTTCACACTTCCCTACATTATAATCCAGCTGCCATCTTCCTGTCGATTTAATTTGGGATATGAGAGAATAAATCACCTTTATTTTAAAAACATTAAAAAGCACACTGCGGTAATCATTTAATTGGGATACACTCTCTGAGGATAAGAAAATACACATTGCTTAGGCAATAAACCTAGTGATTATGGTCAGTGATGGGAAAATAAATTCTATTTGTCACAATAGGTTTAACATAGCCACCTTGTTCTTGTACTCTGGGCCCATATTAATAAAGTCTAAGATATTTATTCTCTCAATATGTCCTGCCACCAATACTTTACAGCCAATATACACGTAGGTGCCTCTGCTCTGGCCCTTCCTCAGAGTTATACCCTTTATTTTATACTATCTCTCAGCACTCTTTCTATAAAATGAATTGCTTCACTTTCATGCATTACATTTTGTTTCCTAGTTATCCATCTATCCACTGCCACCAATCCTCCCCAATCGTCCCCAATCCCAACCCCAACTGCAATTCTACAAATCTGTCCAAGCTCTGTGAAACATTACATTCTTCTTCATGGTTTACAATATTTACAAGTTTTATACCATGCACAGATTTTAAAACTGCCCTGCACTTCAATGTCTATGTCATTTATATGTCAGGGAAAGCTAGGGTCCTTATTCCTAGGGAAGTCTACTATAAACCTTCCTCCAGTCCAAATAACAACCATTCACATCTACTCTTTGTTTCACGTCACTGAGCAAATTACATACCCACATTGCTACTGGTACTTTTATTCCAGAACTCTAACCGTGCTCATGGGTCAGTTGTGCTGCACTTTATCAAATGCCTTTTGGAAGTATTACATATCAACAAAATAACTTTCATCAACACCATTACCTCATGTAAAATGACTTCACCTCAACAAAGCATGCTGGCTTTGCTTAATTAAACTTCGTTTTCCCAAAATAATAAACTGTGTCAATTTATTGTTTCTGAAAACTTCCCAGTTGCTGAAGTTAAACTGACTGGCCTGTGGTTGCTGGGCTTAGTTTTACATGAGGGGAGGCGATGGCCTATTTGTATCATCCCTGGACTATTCATTCAGAGACACAGGTAATGTTCTGGGGACAAAAACAAAGTTGCTGGAAAAGCTCAGCAGGTCTGTCAGCGTCTGTGAAGGAAAAAACAGAGTTAACGTTTCGGGTCTGGTGAGCCTTCCTCAGAACTGGTGGTGGCTGAGAAAACATCAGTTTATATGTAGAAAATAGGGAGGTAGGTGGGGTAGGGACTAAACTGTAGGATAGAGCCCAAAGAGAGAGAAAGACTGTTGGACAAACAAAGGAGTTTTTATTAATGTTCTGGGGACCTGGGTTCATATCTGGTTCGACCTGGGATTAAGAGTCTAATGGTGACCACGAAACCATTGTCAATTGTTGGAAAAACCCATCAGGTTCACGAATGTCCTTCACGGAAGGAAACTGGTCTGGCCTACATTGACTCCAGACCCTCAGCAAAGTATTTGACTCTCAACTGTGCTCCGGGCAATTAGGAATTGGCAATAAATCTGGCCTAGCCATTGATGCCCTCATCCCATGAATGCATTTTAAAAAAGTTCTTTTTTCAACAAGGATATAATTCTGCAGTCCTCTGGCACCACCCAACAGTCTAAGGAAGACTGGAAAATTATGGCCAGTGCTCCTACAATCGCGACTCTCAATTTTCTCAGCATCCTCAAATTCATCCAATAATGTGGCCTTATCAGACAGCCAATCCAACACTACCTCCTCAACAATTTTGAACCTTTCAAGGGTCTGAACGACTTCCTCTATCACCATGATCTAAGCAGCATCTTCTTTGATAAAGATAGCTGAAAAGTAATTAATTAATAGGTCAGCCAGTCTTCGTCCTTCCATATGTAATCCCTATTTCAGTCCCCAATAAGCACCACTCCTTCTTTTAACACCATTTTATTATTTATACCACTAAAGAAGCTTTTGAATTTCCTTTATGTTAGCTGACAGTTTCATCTCATTCCCTCTGCTTGCTTTTCTTGTTTGTTTTCTTACCTCCCCTCCAAACTTTGTATATTCAGCTTTAGATTTGTTTACCACATCTATCTACATCTTGAGACTATACCAAGACTAAATAAGTATACTCTTCTTTAAAGAATACGGTCACAGATGTATCCAAATTAAAGCAAATTGAAGCAGATGCTGAAAATCTGAAACCAGTTCTGAGAAATTCCAGATTCAAAATATTAACTGTTTCTCTGTCAACAGATACTGCCCGACCTGTTCCTGCATTCTGTTTTTGTTTCAATTTCAGATGCCGTTTTTCCTCATAATATTTAATCCTAGGCAAGATCCATTCTTACCTGTTAAAGTTGCCTTTCATTCAAGAATGCTTACTGGGTTGCTCTTTGTCCTTTTTCAAAAGCCTCCTGGAACAATGATCACTATTCCTTTAATTCTTCCCCGCTTACACTTGATCCACTTGCCACAGAATTCCCAAAACCAGGCCCAGCAATGCCCATTTTTTTTGAATAGACTAGAAACAGACTTATGTAGAAAATTTCCCAAGCATACTCTAGGGACTCTTGTCCACGTTTTTATACATCAACTAGCTGAATATCAAGCCAGTTAATTGCTACAATCGTAAATCTAGTTACGTTCCCTTTAGGGGCTACAGTCAAAAACCTCTAATAACATACAGGGGTTAAGCTTAAAGTGGCGATAACAGAATTTAGAATGGTTGGTGCAATCGTATTCTGAATGCGTAATGCACACAGCCACACTCCTTTAGTGAGGAGTGGTTTGGGAGTGGGGAGGGAGTCCTTCCTTCCACTTTATCATCCATCAGAATTTATGACAGAGTTAAATGAGAAGACAACTTACAAGCACCATCTGTTATCTTAAATATTAGACTTTGATGACAATTTTATGGCCAACCCTATTAAATTTAATATTCAGTCATGAACAGAAAGCTGTAATGGCTATTGTCTGCTTCAGAAATTATTTTCTGATAGAATCCTGTTCATTTTGATGACTGAGGTTATTAGAAACACCTTTACAAATATAGGAGTTGAAAGTCTTAAGTGCAGGAAATCGGACAGGTCACTTTTTTGACTTTCTGCTAACTAGCTGCAGCAGATATCTTTTCCAGGCTGCTTTACCCTTCCTATCATTATAAAAATAAAGGGTTTCTGGAAAATGTGTTTATAAAGATTATGGCCATAAAATTGATGGAATCTCAAAACTCACCTTTGAATCACTGTCCTGAGTGTCTGCTTGACTACTAACGATCAAATAATCTAGACTGTCCCATGTAAAGTGTTGCACATCACTGGTTTCAGGTACAGTTAAAGACTGAATCTGTAAGAAAAGTCAAAGAAAAGATTAAGGCAACATTTATAACAACATTGCATCCATTTATTTTAATATTTAAACTTTTCATCTCACCAGGATATCAATCACATAAAATAAAATATACTAGGTGTGAAGTTGGACTATTGTAGGAGTGCAAATCTGGTCAGGGTGACACTGCTGCCTGAAACACACTGCTCAGGTTTTATTTCCTATTGATTGGAAAACATTGTCAAGATTTTTAACTTCAAAAGAAGTGAAAGCAAAGGGGAGATGAGGAAACAAGATCGCAAAAACAGTATGAATATGAGTTTGAAGAGTCTTCAGAGAAACTCTATGGAAAGAAAGGAGCAGACCCAGAGCTGGCAGATGGAGTATATCATGGGAAAGTGAGAGATTGCACATGTTGGCAGGAAGAATACAAAGCAGAATATTATTTAAGTGAAGAAAACACAATAGAATGCACAATATAAAGGGATCTTGTACACGAATCACGATAAGTTATCATGCTCGTACAGTCAGCAATTAGGAAAGCAAGTTTTGCTCCAGCTCTACAGGACACTGATGAGACCATATCTGGAATACTGCATATTGTTTTGCTCTTCTTACTGAAGGAAGGGATATACTGGCATTGGAAGCAATTCAAAGAAGGTTCACTTTGTTGATTCCTGGGAAGGACTGGTTGTCTTATGAGGTAACGTCAAGGACGTCGGGTCCAAAATCATTGGAGTATAGGTAAATGAATGGTTCTGAAGGGGATGAACAGGCAACAGATTGGAAAGATGTCTTCACTTTTCAGGGAAATCTACCACTAGGGGAAACTTGCATATTTAAAAATATGCAAGTTTTCATATTCCTGCAGGAATCTGGAAGCATGGGAGGGCAGAGATGGAGACAGACACCAGAGGTCTCCCCCAGCCTCTTCGTCCCACTACTCCCAAGCATCGGGCCCTGTTTTTCCCACCCCAATCTCCCTGGGTATCAGGCTCTTTTCCCCCAATCCCCCCAAACCATTTATATGTACAAATTAAAGTGGTATACAGTGCACATGCATTGGTGTCGAATCCTTCCTCTGATGGTCATTAGCCTGCGAAATTTTCTTTCCCAGTGAGTAGAAGAAGCTGCGTCATTGAATACATTCAAGACTGAATTAGACAGCTTTTTGACTGGGGGGGGTGGGGTTTAAGGATAATGGGGTATAGGCAAGAAAGTGGTATTCAAATCACAAACACATCAGCCGTGATCTGTTTGAATGGCAAAGCAGGCTCCATGAGCCAAATGATCCAATTCATTTTCTTATGATCTTAGCTTTCTTATCAATTATACTTTTTCAGATTGCTCCCTTGTGACAATATTTCATTATTAATATTAATAATTCAAAATAGCTGTTGATTCGCATTTAAATTAAACATTAAAAACAAGAGGCAATATAAGGATCATACCAATGTCATTTCGGATTGCAGAGTAAACCTGTAAATGCTGTTATGTGATGCTTTCATTCCTGTTATTCCACTATCAGTAATGATTATGTAGGACACATCGTTTTTGACAAAGGTTGTGCAATCTGTGGGATTCCATGTTTTGAATTTCTAGGAGAATAACAATGATACCACCATTTTCTAAGTAATTACACAAATTGCCAGAAAGAATTAAAAGATTGGAATTTTAATTTCAAATCAATAGATAAAGGGGATTTTTAGTTTGTTCTTACCTGCACTGGAACAAATACACCTCGCCATTGATAAACAGTTGACAAAACATCTGCTCTGGAACTGCTTCCAGATGTTCGAAGAAAAATTCCAAACAGGCTGTTGTTTAATGTCAAAAAACACCAATCTGAGCCAAATGATTCAGGAAAATTCTGCAATGTGGATAGCAGTTCGATATCACCCTCTAAAAAAGGATATCAATTTTAATATTAATTAGAAAATGAATTAACTATATGTATTAAGCGACACAACATGATTTTCCCACCTAAAAGGAATGGGAACTTTAATTTCCTGCCCTTTCAAAAATCACGATTCACGTCTGTCAAAGCTCTGTCTTGTATCTTTGATATTACATCTTGGTGGTTGGCAGGAACTGAACTGGATCAGGCACATTAAAAAATTGCAGCCGGTGCCTCCAAGACTACGTCAGAGCGGGGAATTCTCTGGTGAGTACCCTACTTCCTGTTTCCCCAGTATCTGCCCATCATCTACAAGGAAGAAGTCAGGTGTGCCACGGAATACTGTACCCTTGTTTGGATGAGTCCAGCTCCAATAACACTCAAGAAACCTGATACTATCCAGAACAAAGCAGTTCACTTGATCGGCATCCCATCTACCACCTTCAACATTCAGTCCCGTAATCACCGATGCACAATGGTAGCAGTGTGAACCATCCACAAGACGCACCGCAGTAAATCACCAGGGGTCCTGTGACAACACCTTTCAAATGCATGACCTCTGCCACTTCAAAGGACAAGGTCAGTAAATATATGGAAACACCACTACCTGCAAGCTCCCTTCCAAGCCACTCATCCAAGCGTACGTAGCCTGTGGTAAGAGGCAAATAAGTACCACATTACAAAGCTTTGGGTAGTGTTGTAGAACGGAGAGACCGAGTGATCCAGGTACATAATTCTTTGAAGTTTGCATCACATAGAGATAGGGTGGTTGAGAAGGCATTTAGCACGCTTGCCTTCATTGCTCAGACCTTTGAGTAGAGGAGTTGGGGCATTATGTTGAGGTTCTACAGGGCATTGGTGAGGCCTCTTCTGGAATACTGTGTGCAGTTCTGGTCATCCTGTTGTAGGAGGGATATTATTAAGCTGGAGCAGTTCGGAAGTGATTTATCAGGATGTTGCTGGGAATGGAGGCTTTGAGTTATGGGGAGAGACTTAATAGGCTGGGACTTTTTCCACTGGAGTGTAGGAAATTGAGGGATGACTTTATAGAGGTTTATAAAATCATGAGAGGTATAGATAAGTTGAATGGCAGGTGTCTTCCTTTGGATAACGGATTTCAAGACTAGAGGGCATACATTTAAGGTGAGAGGAGAAAGATTTAATAAAGACACGAGGGACAATTTTTTTTTACACAGAGTCGTTTGTGTGCAGAATGAACTTCCAGAGGAAGTGGTGGATGGGAGTACAATTACAATGTTTAAAGGACATTTAGATAAGTACGTGAATAAGAAATGTTTGGAGGGATATGGGACAAGCACAGGCAGGTGGAACTATTTCAGTTTGGGATTATGGTTGGCATGGACTGGTTCGACTGAAGGGTAAATTTCGGTGTTGTATGACTCTATGGCTCCCAAAGTGCTTCTACTGGTACACCATGAGGCAATTTTGCATCCTTTCTATCGAAACATCACAGTCCAATGTTTGTTTTCTTGGACTAGTTTTGTCTTTCTCCATATTGTAAATATTGTTATCACCATACCAAACTGAAGTTTCTTGTTTCTATTGAGCTTTAAACATACTCTTACTTGCTTTTCCATCAGTTTCCATCTGCAGGACATTGATGATGTGTGCATATTCTGCTAAATTAACATTTGAGCAGACCGAAAAAGGTACAAAAATTATTCTTTTATTGCAAGCTGCACATGAGGACAATTATACAGGATAGGATGATGGACAATGGATTCATGGTGCAATTTACCCCCTCATTGAGTAGTAAATGTAGCTTAGCAAACTGAGACAAACTTTCTGCAGTTGGTTCTAAAATAACATGATCAAAGAACAGGAAACATTTTAGCATCCACATTTCTCAATCAACAGTGATAATACACACTGGAAGGTTTATAACATTGAAGGAGATTAAATATATTTTTAAAAGTTACAAAAACATAAATAGCAGAGATCAACAATTAAGCAAAGTTACTATGTGCAAATCTTTATACATTCATATAAAATCAATTTGTTCATCAACGACACAATACTATTGTATCCTTTGACGAAAATATTGATTGCACCTGAACCGGAAGGGCACAAATATCCTGGGAGGGAGGTTTGTTCAAGCTATACGGCATGGTTTAAACTAGATTGGCAGGGCGTGGGGAACCGGATTTGTAATTCAGAGTATGAGGTATTCAACTTTCCAACAGATACAACAGGGAGTGAGGTGGTTAATAAAGAAATGCGGTCGATGGAGCATAATTGTGGACACAGGGATGGTTTGATGTGTGTATACTGCAATGCTAGAAGTATCAGAAATAAGGCGGATGAACTTAAGAGCATGGGTCTGTGCTTGGAACTACGATGTTATGGCCATTACAGGAACTTAGGTAACTCAGGGACAGGAATGGTTGTTGGAAGTTCCGGGATTTAGATGCTTTAAAAGAAATAGGGAGGGTGGTAAAAGAGGTGGGGGAGTGGCATTGCTAGTCAGGGCTAGTATTGCAGCTACTGAAAGGCAGTTCGAGAATGATATGTCTACAGAGTCAGTTTGGGTTGATGTCAGGAACAGGAAAGGATCAGTCACTTCGTTGGGGCTTTTTTACAGACACCCTAATAGTTGCAGAGAAGTAGAGGAGCGGATTGGGAGGCAGATACTGGAAAGGTAGAGAAATCACAGGGTTGTAGTCATGGGTGACTCCAACTTTCCAAATATTGATTGGAAACTTTTTAGTTGTAATAGTTTAGATGGAACGGATTTTGTCCAGTGCGTTCCAGAAGGATTCCTGACACAGTATGTAGACGGACCAACACGAGGAGAGGCCACTTTGGATTTGGTGCTTGGCAATGAACCGGGCCAAGTGTTCGACCTGTTGGTAGGAGAGCATTTTGGCGATAGCGATCATAACTCTGTTACTTTTACAATAGTCATGGAAAAGGATAGGTACATATGGCAGGGTAAGGTTTATAATTGGGGGAAGGGTAATTATAATTCTGTTAGGCAAGAACTGGGTAACATAAAATGGGAACAGATGCTGTCAGGGAAGAGCATATAGAAATATGGAGATTGTTTAAGGAATGCATACTGCGTGTGCTTGGTATATTTGTCCCTCGCAGGCAGGGAAGATGCGGTCGAGTGAGGGAGCCTTGGTTCTCGAGAGAGGTCAAACGACTGTTTAGGAGGAAGAAGGATGCTTATATAAGGTTTAGGAAACAAGGATTGGAAAAGGTTCTAGAGGGATACAAGTTAGCTAGGAAGGAGCTAAAGGAAGGGCTTAGGAGAACTATAAGGGGGCCTGAGAAAAATTTGGCAGATAGGATCAAGGAAAACTCCAAGGCTTTTTACACATATGTGAGGAATAAGAGAATGACCAGAGTAAGAGTAGGGCTGATCAAGGATTGTAAAGGGAATTTGTGCACAGAGCCTAAAGAGATAGGAAAAGTCCTTAATGAGTACTTTTCTTCAGTATTCACAACTGAGAGGGACCTAGTTGTAGGGGAGGACAGTGTGAAACAGGCTGGTAGGAGGTGGATGTTAGTAAGGAAGATGTACTAGGAATTTTGAGGAACTTGAAAACAGATAAGTCCCCCGGGCCTGATGGGATTTATCCAAGGATTCTATGGGAAGTGAAGGACGAGATCGCAGGGCCTTTGGCGATGATCTTTTCGTCCTCACTGTCCACGGGTATAGTGCTGGAAGATTGGAGAGTGGCAAACATCATTCCCTTGTTCAAAAAAGCACATAGGGATAACCCCGGAAATTACAGGCCGGTTAGTCTTACTTCAGTGGTGGGCAAATTATTGGAAAGGGCTCTGAGAGATAGGATTTATGACCACTTGGATAGGCACAGTTTGATTCGTGATAGTCAGCATGGATTTGTGAGGGGTAGATCATGCCTCACAAACCTTATTGAATTCTTTGAAGAGGTGACCAAACACGTGGATGGAGGTGGAGCTGTAGATGTGGTATACGTGGATTTAAGTAAGGCGTTTGATAAGGTTCCCCATGGTAGGCTCATGCAGAAAGTAAGGAGGCATGGGATAGGGGGAAATGTGGCAGATTGGATTCAGAATTGGCTGACCCTTAGAAGACAAAGGGTGGTAGTGGATGGAAAATATTCAACATGGTGCTCAGTTACGAGTGGTGTACCACAAGGATCTGTTCTGGGTCCTCTTCTATTTGTGATTTTTGTAAATGATTTGGATGAAGGAGTGGAAGGGTGGATTAGTAAGCTCGCGGATGATACGAAGGTGGGTCGAGTTGTGGACAGTGCGGAGGGCTGTTCGAGGTTACAAAGGGACATTGATAGGATGCAGAGCTGGGTTGAGAAGTGGCAGATGGAGTTTAACCCTGAAAAGTGTGAGTTGATTCATTTTGGAGGGAAAAACTTGAAAGCAGAATACAGGGTTAATGGAAAGATTCTTGGCAGTGTGGAGGAGCAGAGGGATCTCAGGGTTCATGCCCATAGTTCCTTGAAAGCTGCCACCCACGTGGATAGAATTGTTAAGAAAGCGTATGGTGTGTTAGCTTTCATTAATAGAGAGATTGAGTTCAAGAGCCGTGAAGTTATGCTCCAGCTATACAAAAGCCTGGTTCAGCCACATCTGGAGTATTGTGTCCAGTTCTAGTCGTCTCATTACAGGAAGGATGTGGAAGCGTTGGAAAAGGTGCAGAGGAGATTTACCAGGATGTTGCCTGGAATGGAGGGAAGATCTTAGGGGGAATGGTTGAGAGAGCTAGGGCTTTTCTCTTTAGAACGAAGAAGGATGAAAGGTGACTTGATAGAGGTGTACAAAATGATCAGAGGTATAGATACAGTGGACAGCCAGAGACTTTTTCCTGGGGTGGAGGTAGCTATTACGAGGGCGCATAGTTTTAAAGTGAGTGGAGGTAGATATAGGGGAGACATCAGAGGTAGGTTCTTTACTCAGAGAGTGGTCAGGGCGTGGAATTCATTGCCGGAGATGGTAGTGGAGTCGGCCTCATTAGGGGCATTTAAGCGGCAATTAGATAGGCATATGGATGATAGTATAAGGTAAGGGTGGAGGTTAGATAGACCTTAGGTTTAGGGTAAAAGTTTGGCAGACATCGTGGGCCGAAGGGCCTGTACTGTGCTGTACTGTTCTATGTTCTATGAAACCAATGAATTTAACTTTCGCATTAGAATTACACTGAGCATTTGAGGCAATTTTATATGTACCATTGTATGATTAGATTCAAAATGGCAACTCACTTAATCCAAGTGCTGTTTGAGACTGTGTCTCCCATTCCACAGTGACTTTATTCTTCAAACCATTACTTCGTGATACTATTAAATACAAAATGCTATTGCTTTCTTCCAGATGGACTGAGCGAGTTCTAAATAAAACAAACATTTAAAATATTCTAATTTTCAAAATAATAAAACTAGTTGATGTGCCTACTCCCACACCCCTCCTTCCCACCCACCACTCCAAAAGTCAAAACAGCATTGAGTTAGTGCATTCATGACGTGCGTGCGTGTGTGTGTTGAAGGTGTTACGCTCCGAAAGTTTGTCATTTCAAATAAATCTGTTGGACTATAAACTGGTGTCATCTGATTTCTGGCCGTTTGTAAGGAGGAGACTGCAGCTGATCTCGTTGCCTATTGCCTTCCTACCTCTGGGGATCCTCCCCAGAGTTCAGCTGGAGAAGCGATCAGTTGCTCACACATGAAGTAACTGTCAATTAACAGTACCTAAAGCTGGAGCTCTTAAAAATTTGGTTGGGAGTAGGTTTACTGGTACTGTGTGATAATGCTTCAACTGAGGGGGCTTGTCAAGGAACTTGATAATTCTATTATCAATTTCATAAAAATAATCTTGGATTCTTTTGGCTATTCAGCTAGATTTCCCCAAAAATTCTGCTATCACTTTCTGCATTTTTTAAAAATTAACTCAACAATCAGTAATTATTCAGATGAACTGCACTGTGCCTTTGTAGTTAAGAACCTGATAAGAACAAAACCTCAAAACCTGCCTTGTCTTTATTAGGTTTGTACCACTTTTCTTTAAAATAGTGTAGTTGCTATTTCTAAGGGTTGAAATGCCTGTATACTGTCTCATAGAAACAGAATATAACTTTTTTGTAATAGATTGTTATGAAGATGTGCTCTATAAAATATTCATTCAAAAATTTCATCAGCTGGATTCATTACAGACATTTTATAATCAGATATTTCAGGTGAAGGACATTTCACTGAAGCAAAGGGACAGAGATCTACATTAAAGTTTTTGGGAATTTGCAGCACTAAGTAAGCCATATTCTGTTTCATGGAGATGCAGGGTCAATGAGGACGAAAGACATTAAATCCCTGAGGAGGTGTAAACAGCTTCCTTTCTACTTTATGAAAAATGGACATTTAGTGCGTCATGACACTGAACCTAATCACCTGTAGCCATGAAACAATGGCTAAAGTGATTGCAGACACATGTTAACTGAAGTTGCATTTTTGGAATATGGAATGGATTTGGAACTCCTAATGGCAATGAGAAATAGTAATGAGACTAACCAAGCTTTGGGTGAGAGATTGGGCTGACCAGGAGCGAGCAGCAGTTGCTCTCTTTGTCTCTGTTTCACTATTCCACTTCCCTACAGTTAAAAGCTAAGCCTTGAGTTCTGTCTGCTGAGCTGTGAACTGTGTGTACCTTCTTGCCAACAGAAAATTCTGGAGTAAAAGTCATTGAGTTCCTAAAGCAACATCTCCAGAAGAAAACGGGCCATTCTAGCCGCATTTTAAAACATCTTCTCAGCAGGGAACCAAAATCCTGTGAATTATACCAGTTTACCAGCTACAAACCATGAACATATTTTATCTTTCATGATTTAGCATTTCATTAAATTTACCTACCTGAACTTTCAATCAGATTTCAAGTGTATATGCTGTGTTTTGGACTTGCCTTAAAAACTTAAATGTTTTTACTCTGGTTGGTTTCATCATAGTAGCCGTGACTTCTTATTTGTGATAAACTCAAGAAAATCAATCTGGCTAATCCTTTACAACCAGCATATACACGCTTAAGCACAAATACTGGGTTGGCAATTCACATTTTCAAATTTTAAGGATCATTTTTTACAATTCAGCCTTCTTCACTTACATGCAATACTGTGAAAATCAGGTTAGCTTGAAAGACTCACATCATCATTTATTTTTAAATTGTATAAGAAAATCCCATTATAGTCCCATGTCCGAAAATATCCATGTTTACAACAAGCATTCATGTACACTGTGATATGGTGTAGATGTGTGTTTAAGGGATGTATCGGTTCTCAATCACTGCCTCCTTGATATGGGATTAGCCCTATGACTTGTAGTTTATAAGCAGCAGGACCAAGAGTCAGATACATATACTTAGCTTCCCAGTTAAGATTACACTGCATATAAATAGAGGTATCTTCAAATAATGAACCCACACTGACTCACCAAACCTTGTTGTATGATTGGCAGGATTACACTGAAAAACATGGTGAAAGTATTGTATTTGAAGATTAAACTGAAACTGAAAAGTAAACAAAGCCTCAACTTTTCACGCAGCAAAAGAAAAGGTGTCAAAGTGAAACTATCAAACCTCACCTTCTGTAGGTAATTATTCAGTTCTGTAGGAATCCTATGCTCAGTACCATAATTCTAGGACATTATCGCATCTTAATTGAATCAACAGGCAGCAAGTTCTGGTATGATTGCTTGAATTTGGGAGAGTTTAATCAGTATCTACCTGGTGTGAAGTTTAAGCAGCAACAAAAATTTGATCAACTCGTGAAAATCCAGCTTTAAGTAGAAAACACAGGCAGAAAAGACTCCATTACTGTCGTCTGCTGTCCTCCAGGACTTGGGAAGAACCTATCCAGTAACAGCTCCTAACAGCCAGGAGAACCTTGTATACACGTTTTCTTCAGTGTTTCACTTATCTTTGAAGTCTACAGTTGTAATACCCTAAACCATGACTCTTCGAGTTAACCTGGGAACATTCAAAGGGCTGAACACTACAGTTAATCACTAACTAAAAGCTACAAATAAAAAACTGCATAGATGTCAACAGTTCTAGATATCATTAATAATCCTGCACAAAACTATAAGACAACAATAAAGTTTCTAATACAACTGTAAAACAAAGGACTTCCTATCTGAGGTTACTTGTTTTAACAATGCATAGAGTTGTGTTTTCTTGATCTCAATATTTCTGAAATTGCTGAAGGATCTCAGTAGGTCTGGCAGCATTGTAGACAGGAAGCAGAGTTAACATTTCGAGGCCGGTGACCCTTCTTCAGAACCTTTTTTTGGAAGAAGGTAAAAAAGAGGGCTATACAGGTTTGAGGGACTGTGAGCATGGAGGCTATGGTGGAGGATGGGATGGAGATCCCCAGATCAGATGAGATTAGTGACTGTTGTGGACACAATAGCCTGATGTTCAGTGGTGGGGTCATGGTTTGGGGGAGATAGGAGGAGGTGTCCAAGACTCCATAATGTAGAGGTCAGCATGTCAGACAACAACAGCACCAGCCTTGTCAGCAGGCTTGATTACAAAGTCAGGCTTGGATCTGACAGCACAGAGTGCAGTCAGTTCACAGGGAGATAGTTATGTGTCTAAGACCAGAGGACATGACTTTAAGGTGATGAGTAAGTGGATTAGAGAAGATTTAAAAAAATCTTTTTTCACCCAGAGGGTGGTAGAAATATAGACATACCTCTGGAGACAGTGGTGGAGGAACATATTCTCACAAAATTTATGAAACATTTAGATGAGTACTTAAAATTCCAGGGCATAATAGGCTTTGGGACAAGTGCAGGTAAATGGAATTAGTGTAGTTTGGTGTTTTGTTGGTTGACATAAACATGTGGGCCAAAGGGCTTACTTCTGTCTTGTATGGCTCTCTTTAGGTTCAACTGGACGAAGGGGGTCAGAGAAATTAAAGCAGCCAATGTCATGTTGAAAGTTCTCAATTAACATGTCAAATGCAGCTAAAGGGCCAGAGGGAGGGGTCCAGGTGTATGGACAATGTTGGAGGTGGGTGAAGGCATCTGTAGGACAGGGAGAGGACTCATGTCCAAAGAAATGGGCACAGAAGCGAAGGCAACAGAAGAAGAGTTCAACATCATGTTGTGCCCAAAATTCATTGAGGAGAGCACACTGATGGATCAAACTAAGACCTTTGCTGAGTATAGAATGTTCAGCTGAACACAGAAAATCAGAAGGGATAGTCAATACATAACAAGAGGTCAGAGTATGAGAACGGAAGGAGGCAGACAGAATGGGGAGGGGAGGATGGTTCCAGAGGGTGTGGGTACCTCTGAGTTGGTGCAGCTTGTGTTCCTTAATGCCTGAAAGGAACAGAAAAAGTTTCTGAGATAGTAGGAACTGCAGATGCTGGAGAATATGAGATAACAAGGTGTGGAACACAGCAGGCCAAGCGGCATCAGAGGAGCAGGAAGGCTGACGCTTCAGGCCTAGACCCTTCTTCAGAAATGGGGGAGGGGAAAGGGGGTTCTGAAATAATTAGGGAGAGAGGGGGAGGCGGATAGAAGATGGATAGAGGAGAAGATAGGTGGAGAGGAGACAGACAGGTCAAAGAGGCGGGGATGGAGCCAGTAAAGGTGAGTGTAGGTGGGGAGGTAGGGAGGAGGTAGGTCAGTCCAGGGAGGACGGACGGGTCAAGGGGGCGGGATGAGGTTAGTAGGTAGGAGATGGGGTTGGGGCTTGAGGTGGATGCAGGGGATAGGTGGGAGGAAGGACAGGTTAGGGAGGCGGGCATGAGCTGGGCTGGTTTTGGGATGCAGTAGGGGGAGGGGTCTAGGCCCGAAACGTCAGCTTTCCTGCTCCTGTGATGCTGCTTGGCCTGCTGTGTTCAGCCAGCTCTACACCTTGTTATCTCAGAAAAAGTTTCTTGTAAGAATGTCAAAAGAGCCAGGGGGGCAGGGCAGCTCTGAGACAGTGTGAGGTGGTGCGGGTGGGGAGAGAGATCAAGAGAGTGAAACCAGGTTCTGAAGAAGTCATTGGACTTGAAACATGAACTCTGCTTTCTCTCCACTGATGCTACTAGACCTGCTGAGTTTCTGCTGTAAATTCTGCTTTTGCCTTAATTATGGTGATCTTTGTTTTGGGGGTGCTTCGTTGGGTTGTGTCTTAGAAAGTGTTCTAATTCCAATCGCATCACATGGTATTTCAATTAAGGTATTGTTTTAATTTTTGACATCTGCTTTGTCACATTGTCATGCAACTAGCCACTTATAATTGATACAATTTATTCTTGGCGTATGCTGCTGATTTCTGCTGCACTTCATGTAGCATCAGTTGCGTGTTGCACTCAAACTTTCTCTCCAATGGTTAGGCTGAGTAATTATTTTCCCATATGTCAGTCACGAACATCTTTCATCCTCCCTTGTTTTTCAAGCCATGCATCATGGATTCCTGGGAGATGTGATGAGTGATGACTGGGGTAATTAGACCATATGTTTCTGCTGAAGAGTAATTTTGCATCAGTTCCACTATATAATGAGAACTGCACATTCAGAATGAGCATCTATGCATGATTTAGATGGTGCCACACAATCTGTTGGGTCCTGCACTGCAAGGTTAGGTGATCTTCTCCCAGTCTAAGCACAGGGCTCCTAATGGTGTTTCTTTCGGTTTCTGGTTCTTGTCAAATCTTGACAGTGCCACAGATGGCGACCAAGAACAGTTTGATGCACACCACAGCATAAAGTGGATTTGATTTTATCATGCATAACCACAGTATAAAACATCTGAGGTAGTGGGTTCTTGTGGCACGGTAGTAGTGCCCCTACCTCTTGGGCAGAAAATCCGAATTCAAGTCCCACTTGCCCTGTGGGTATGCCACAACATTCCATGAAGGTTGATTAATAATACTTAAAAACATCTAGGGTGACCAGGGTGAGTTCTTTTGCTGCACCACTTGAGTATAATGGATCATAGGGAGGGAATCTCTGAGCCATTAAGACACATTATAACTTTCTTTTGCTGTAATGTAAATGGTTTTAGTCTTTAAAAGTAAGCCTGTAGCCAAAGAACAAGAGGAATGCTGTGATATATGCAGGGTGCACACCTTAAACTGCTATCAATCATGGCTACCTCAATGCATTAGTCCCATAATGTGTAATCAATCTACAAACAGCAGGAAGAAAAGTTAGATGTATATATTTAACATTGCAGTTAGCCAGATCTATTTGCATATAGCCTATCTTCTCAAAAGTCACTTTCCTTATTGTGTCACCAATCCTTGGCTTATAATTGCTATGTATATATCAATGAGAAGAATGAACAGCATTTATCAGCCAAAAGGTGACAACTATGACTGATCTAAATTAACTCAAGTTCAGTTTGTCAGTTACAGCATCTAATCTGTCTATTTCAGGAAGAAACTTGTTTAATGACAAATTATATTTAATCCTACTTTATGTACTTGAAATTCAAATATTGTACATCAGAGTATACAACAGTGAATCATTGTTTTCTTCAAGGCACTGAGATGTTGCCACTTATCTACATTTAAACATTGCTTGGTCAAAGTCTTGGAACATCCTTCCTAACAAGACTGTAGATGCATCCATACCCCAAGAATTGCAACAGTTCAAGGGGTAACTCACCGCTACCTTCTCCTGGGCAATTTGAGATGGATAATAAGTGCTCACTTAGTTAACAATGCTGACATCCAATGAACAAATAGAAGTGGACAAGGTTTGACCATGCAAATTAAATCTTATTTTAGAATTGCAAATTGTATTTTGTTTTAAATCATTGATAAATTGCCTTCATAGGTCCACGTAAATTAAACCACAAGCAGGCATATAAATAAGTAAACATGGTTTCAAAAAATATCCATTGGATCGTGATAAACATACTTGAAAGTAAAACCATCTGCCAATATTCCATTCTCCATTAACATTGTCAATCATTGCAAGTTATACTAACAGTCTCTGGTTATACAGACACTAATGATCTAGTTCATTTCATAAGGCAATGCCTTGGCCAATCAGAGTTTAAAATTTAAAAGAATTTAAAATGTCCAGTTTAAAATTTAAACAATCCTTGGCAGTTAACTGTCAGTCACCATCTAACTGGTGCATTTTCCATGGCATTCCCCATCCTCTACCAATCAAAATCCAATTGCTGACCAGTCAACATTCTCCTCTCATTCAGAACGTATGTTGCTTTCTCTTTACATTGATAATCTTGCAAATTCTCTGGTGCAGGATGAAAACTTTCAACTAAATGTGTAATTTTTACCAATACTCAAGTTCTATACTTCCAAGTGACTATTTGCTAGGTACCAAAATTGCAATAATTCATATTGGTTGATAAGAATATACTCTGTATTTTCTAACCTGTTTTCGATTGGGAAGATACTAAAAAGTCCCAGCGGTGCCTCGTTCTGAACTACTGTTATCAGGTTCTGCACTGTACGCCCCAGTCTGGCCCCTCCGGTGGGGTCATACAAAGTAACCAGGAATTGTTCATCCATCTCTGCTTCTTCATCCAATATAGCAGAAATTTGCAGAATCTGTGGGTGGGTGGGGGCAACATCCGAAAGCGGTAGATCGGATG